TCAGATTGTCTGCATATGCTGCTAGTTTGAAAGCATAGTTGTTAATGTTGATGCCTCGTATGTTTTGTTGTAGAGCTACTAAGAGTGGATTGAAAGCTATTATATATAGTAGTGAAGATAATAGATCCCTTTGTCTAACCCCTTGCTCAACTTTGAAGGGTTCTGAGATTTTACTGCTTGCTGTAATATGTGCTTGTTGAGTTGAAAAAAGCATGTTGACGATTCTGATTAATTTTGGGTCAAAGTTCATTTTTTGGAGGACTGTTTGCAAATAAGAGTAGTTAACTCTATCAAATACTTTTTGTTGGTCTAATAACAGAAGCCAGTGCTGCTTTGGTTTCTTAGCACTGTTAGAATATCCAGTGCGGTGTCTGTTATAGATCTTTCTCTGATAAAGGCTTGTTGTGCTGAGCCAATAAGGAGATCACATATTGGGTTGATGCGATTGGCCATAATCTTCATAAAGATTTTAGCATCACTGTTTACAAGGGAAATAGGTCTCCAATTGTTAATGTCCTCTAGGTTGCTTGATTTCTTTGAGATCAGAGTAATTATACTTTTGTTCCAGGAGTTAGGCATATCCACATAATTGAAGAGTTTTGTTAGGAAGAGGAGGAGTTCCTCTTTTGTATCTTTGTAGAATTCGTAGGTGAGCCCATCTGATCCAGGTGTTTTGTTGCAAGGCAGTATATCTATTGTACTGCTTACTTCTTCCTCAGTTATTTGTTTAACCAGCTGTATGTTGTGTTTTTCTGTAACTTTAGGAAGATTCTGTGTTAGCACATTTGTCGCCTTCTGGTCAGAGTCTTCTGCCTTGTATATTTCCTGATAGGTAGTCTTGATATATTTGAGAATTTTGAGAGGTTTGTCTAAATTTGTATTATTGGGATCCCATATTTTAGAGCAGCTTGAAGTTGTGTGCTTAGATTTATAGAGTGAAAAGAAGTATCTTGTAGACTTCTCTCCTTCTTTAATCCATTTTGCATTAGACCTTATTTGTCATTTTTCAGAGAGAGATACTAATTCTTCTTGAATTTGAGCTTTTGTATGTTCAGCGAGAAGGTTAAAGTCTTCTTGCTCAGGGTTTTGGGCCAGTTTGTTGTTGAGGTTATTCAGCTTCTTGTAAAATTGTTGAATTCTTCTTTCTGGTGTAGGTTTGGGTTTGTAAGCCCTGATTATTGATTGTATTGCACATTTGTAGAGATCCCAGTCCTGGATCTCTTGAGTATCTTTAATAATTCCTCTTATTTCTGTCTCTACTTCTAGTATAGACCAGCATTTTTTATCAAATCGCCAACATAATGCAGACTTGTGTCTGAATTTATTTGAAATTTGGCTTTCCACTAGCAAGTGGTCTGAGTTACCAAAACGAGTTTAGGTTTCGAAGTTAAGACAGCCATAGTTGATATCTACAAATATGTAGTCCAATTGAGTAGCCATTTTCTGATTGCTTTGTGTGTTTTGATAAAAGGTCAGAAAGGGGTCATCTTTCGAGAAGCTTACTGTGTCTACAAAATCCTTTAAAAGTTCTTGAAGTATCTCTCTTGAGTTATCCTTTTGTATTGTCGCTTGGCTAATACGATTAATTTTGGGGTCAAGGTTTGTATTAAAGTCTCTTGCTATTATATTTAATGCATTGGTATCTAGTGTTGAAACCCAGTTGCTAAAAAATTAAATATTTGTGACCGCATATTGGCAGTGTTTGTATGTTAGTTTGGTTGAAATTATCTGATCATTGTGTGAAACTTTGGTTTCAACAAACTTGATGTTTGCTTTTCCTGCTAAAATAGCTGTTTTGGTGGTCCAAATTGAATCATATCCCCACTGTTGTGAGAGAAATGTTCTTGTTGCCATGTCTTTGAGATTTGTTTCTTATAAAAGAATTAAATCTATTTATATGATTTTAGTAAAGTTAAAGTTTTTTGAGTCTTTACATTATTGTTAAGGCCTTTTACGTTTAGTGTAGCGATCTTGATTATGAGTTAATATATAGGTGTTAGGCCACACTTGTGGTTGTTTCATTGGTTAGACATGAGGAGAAGTAACTCCTTGGGAGTTATTCCCCTTATCTACTTTGTTAATTCTGGTAAGTGGTGAAAAGCCTCCTTTCTTCAATTTGCTCTTGTACTTTCCTTTTTTTGATGTAACTAAGGTAAATTCTCTTTCTTCTTTGCTACTTATTGCACTACAAAGTGCAACATCCATTTTCACGTCTGTTGATGTGGCATCATTTGTAGGTGTATTTACAGCCTCTAGTTTGTTTTCAGTTGTTTCCATCTCATTAGTTTCTGTAATTGTGTTTGTGAGTTCTTTTTCCTCTGTTTGAGATGTTTTTGGTGAGGTTGTCTCATTTGGAGTTTGAATTGTGTTTTGTTTCTCTGTGCTACTTTCGTTTGCTTTTTCTAAGACCATCTCTGTAGTGTAAGGATTTTCTGGGCTAAATTGAGCTTGTGTTTCCACTTCGTTTAGGCTCTGCTTTTTTGCTTCTAGTTCTCTTTGTTTTTTATACTCTTTTAGTCTTTGTCTGAATTTGATTGAAGCTTTTAAATCTTTGCAGTCTTTCTTGATGTGCCCTGATTGTTTACAATAATAGCAAACTTTTGGGGCTTCTTTCCAATCTGTTGAGACTTTGTGGTCACCTACATGGGTGTATCTAGGAAGTCTTTTAACTAGGTTAGGGTTCCAAAGGTGATAATCCATTAGTCTGAACATATTGATGTTCCTTCAAATAAGAGTGGTTTAATTGATGCAATAGTGCCTATATCTTGGAATGCTATCTTGACGAGTTCGTTTATCTGTTCCTTATCTCTCATCAGCATATTTCTTAACTTGACTGAGAGAAAATTATGCTTGAGGTTTACTGGAATGTAACCAAATAGAGTTTGGTTAAAGATACTAATTTCTTCTGAAGCATAAAGCTTTTGTTTGTCTTTGTTAACAAAAACAGTTTCTAGAAAAGCATGCTTTTCTCTTTGCATATGTGTTTTGGCTACTAGTAGGTCTCCTCCTAATTTAGTTGCCAAAGCTAAAATGATATCGTTTCATCAGCAAAAAATATATACGAAATATTGTGAAAGAATTTGCGGTGTCGAAATATTTCGAAATTATTGCGATCGACACGAAATATTTCAAAATAAATAATTTCGAAAAATTTCAAAAATTATTTTGAAATATTGCGAAAGAATTTGCAATAAACTGCAAAGGGTTTAATTATATTAGCATTTGAAATATTTCGAAATATTTCAAAATATTTCGAAATAATTCGAAATAATTCGAATTAATTCAAGCTAAACGAAATTTAGAAATATACTAATTTTAAATATATGAATTTTATTTTTATTTATTATTTTCAATATAATTCGAATTATTTCGAATTATTTTAAATTAATTCGAATATTTTTATTCTTTTTACAATTAATATTTATATTTCGTAAAGAATTTTTCTAACCATAACCGGTGGTGATAATCACCGGTATTACGTGATATAATTTAATTTAAAAATATTTATACATATAAATATTAATATAAATACTATATATATATTACTGTATATAATTGTATACTATATACAATAAATTATTATTAATAGTATACGTACTGTAATTACAATACTTGTATAACAATCCGTGTAAATACCCGTATAACTATATACAGAGGTTCGCTATTTATACATTGATCAACATATTGCATAACTATATCACCCACTAACTTTAACTGCATCAAAAAAACCAACTCTAATGAACCTAGCTTTAAGCGTCCCCATATGCAACTACTGTATAACTATCTGCATAACTACCTATAATTATCAGTATCGACAAGTATCAGAAAATCATCCATTCATGTTTATTGTACGTGCGTTTGCACGTACCATATGACTATTTCGTAACTATCACAATATTGATATAACATGCACAGTCGCCTCCAAAAGTTTAATACGGTTATACGAAAACATAAAATCTAAGCTAATTATACTCACGATATAGAAAACCTTCGATGTTTATATAAGAAAGATTTTACAAGTACCAATTGAAAATTTTTATAAAAAAAGTCTTCAAACTTTCGGAGGCGACTGTACATATGTATATGAATGGCAATGGCAAGTAATATAACAAAGAATTTCAAACACAACATAGTGAATTGACTGCACATATTTAACATAAAGTTTATTAATACTTACCTACATAAAAATCACCCTCGTGATTTTAGGGTTAGTTTGTGGAAGATATACAGACGTTTAGTAAAGCACAAATGTTTCCCAAACTACTTTATTAGGAATAGCTTAAGCTTTGTACACCAATATTACAATACATAATCACAGTTGAAATGCCCCGAATGTAATACCTAGCTAAAAACTTTATTTTGATATATCACTATTCATATTACAGTCTTATTTGTGAACCTATTTGTTGCACTTTCGTGCATTATGACCAGGTTTTCCACACGTGTTATATACATACTTCCGTTTAGTAACATGTTCTTTCATGTCATGAGTTGTTCCAGTAGAAATGTTATCAATTACATTAGAATTGTTGTTAAGGGTATTTAATAGAGTTTTTTGACGTTTATATAAATTTGGATCAGTTGAATTGATTGCACTATTTCTAGTGCTAATATGTTGTGATTTATTTTCTGTTGATGACTTGATATGTTTAGTCGGCAGACGTCCACGTCGCTTCTGAACAAAGGATCCAATATATGCAAATTTTTGTAGTTTTCATTATTCTCAGTACTAGTGCTACTTTTCTTCTGATCAATAAAACTATTTATCATATCGACAAGCTTATCTTCACAGCCTATATCAAGCGCTAAATTAAGTGCTGCTTTAATTTTTCCAAAACCATAAGCATATTTGGCTTTCTTTTGTACATATTTTCTAGTTTCAGTCGTAAATGCATGTGGTGTGCAAATCAGGTACTATCGTGACATTAGTATCAACTTGTTTAAACTGTGTCACTATTTCTACGATCTTATGTAAATTTGATTCAATCTCTTGATCACAAACGTCTTCTATTAAACTTAGCAGCCCTCGAATTCATCATGACTTGAAAAAAATGTGCGCATACAAGCCCATGATTAATAATCGATAAACAAGTACATAAATGTCCACCGTCAACCAATAAAATAACGTAATGTTTATATGATCCTGTAAGTCCGAAGAGCTCCCATATTTCTAAAATATCAAATGGCTGAATTCCATCCATAAAAGAATAAAGTGATGCTTGCGGCCTATCCAGGTGATACTTGAGAAACCCAACATCACAGTCGAGCAGATCAGGATCCTAAAAAGAACTAGTTTTTATTACTTCAAATTAATAATTAATGTTCTGCAGTAATCTAGCTTAAATATTATTACAGTCTGGCTCGTTTTGACTTGCTGGGCTAGTGAGTCAAAAATGAGCCAGACTATAATAATATTTAAGCCGGATTACTGCATTATCATTATTAGAACTTACTTCTTGTACAATGCCGAGCATCTCTTTAGGGATTAACCTTGCACGATATAGTAAAGATCCAAGTATCTGCTAACGTTGAACAGATAAGATATGAGAAGATAAATATTTTTTTAGTAATTCAAACACTTCAGGAAATATAGGCTCGATAATAGAAGGTGCTTGATTAACTGGAAGGCTTTGGAGATATGAATTATGTCGAGCCCATTTGGCTTCATTATCTAAAAGCCTTTGTATTATGTCATGCAAATTGCATAGTGAAGATGTACTGCTTATACCCTCCTTAATTATTCTATTCATCACTTCAATCCTCTGTGTACTTTGGACTCCAGCTGTGAAAACTTTAATTTGAAAGCATTTTGCCCACGCTCTATAACAATTTTGCAAAGTATTATTGAAGTAATTTTGAGCCTGTGGATACCTTTCTAATAAACGTGTCTAACGGCGATGAAAATCATTTTCGAATAAGCTATTTCGGGCATATAGAAATTTCTTATAAAATGTATCATAATCTTTGCCTAATTTACTTCGTAAATTTTTACGCAAATTTTCTTGTATATGGAAAATACAAAGAAAATGATAAACAGTAGGCATTTTTAATGCTATGACATTTAGTAAAGCGGGGTCTGCGTCGGAAAATATACAAACAGGTGGAATATTATTTGTCGCTTGAAGGATACATTCGAAGAACCATTCATAACTTTTGGTTGTTTCATCATCTGATAGACATTGAGCGACGAGTTGACTTTTAGTATTATTATCGATTACAACTAAGAGAGTCAAATACATATTAAACCAGTTCGTTTGACTTGTATTATCCGTTTGTACTATATCGTTATATCATAAAAGACACCGTTGTTGACTAGGTGACATCCAAAACAACCCCGTCAGCCGATTATCAAAAGGATCTAGTCTTGTTTTAACTATCCAACCCGACTTCTGATCTTGTAATTCAAGTAATTTATTAATCATATTCTGTGCGTCTCCTTGACACTTTGTGAGAGGTGCCTTAAAACTATAGACAGCATTATAAATGTCTCGCTTGCTGATTAAATGATCCGAAAAACTTGCAGTTATTAAAGGATATATTTGTTTTGATCCTAAATTGCCCTTAGTTACATAAAACTTAATCTGCTCCATTATATTATCTGACAACCTCAATATTTGGGTGCGTATAAAGTTATATCGGGTATCATAGGATGACAGTGTTTTCCAACAATACTAGTTATGCCTACTTTTGATACAGCTTTAGGCATGATTAAATTTATGTGCCATGGACACCCAACCTTGATAGATGGATGCTCGCACTGGCAGGTTGGATCAATTACTTGATTGGAAGTGAGCTCTCCAGAAAAAGTGCATTCAAATATTCGTCGACGAACTGTTCTATCTTTATCAACTTCAACTCGTTTACGACGTATACTAAATCCAGCTGATCTTGCATACTGATTAAGTCGTATTTCAGCAATGTCCCACGAAATAAATGTATCATCAACATTAATATGAACTGGCTCTTCTAACTCAGGTTCTAGATCCATACTTTTTTGAGGATCTATATCCATAATATCTTGAAATTCTACACCCGTACTATCGTCAAATTCTACACCGATATTATCGTGAAATTCTATACTCATAATATCGTGAAATTCTACATCCGTACTATTGTGAAATTCTACATCTGCACTATCGTGAAATTCTACATCCATACTATCGTGAAATTCTACATCCATACTATCGTGAAATTCTATATCTCTACTATTGTGAAATTCTACATCTGCACTATCATGAAATTCTATACTCACACTTTCTTGAAATTCTGATTCTAAACTTTCTTGAGGTTTTACGACAATGCTTCCCTGAAATTCTACACCCATATTTTCTTGAGGTTCTACGACAATGCTTCCCTGAAATTCTATACCCAT